ATAGAGAAATCATGGAGAATTTCTGAACTTTTAAAATACTCTTCAGAATATACTTTAAGAAAACTTTCAAACTGATAATGTGCAAAATGTAGTGTGAAAAACAAAAACAAAAAAACACACAGGGAATTTCAGGAAAAAAAATATTGGACATATGAGAATAGTCTGATAACAGAAAACTGGAAAGATAACCTCTTTTTTTTTTTTTTTTTGTTCCCCACTTTTCCCATGTAATGACTCCATGCTACAACATAAAAAGTAAAGGAATATTACAGCAATCTCAGTGTCTCTAGGACAGCTCCCAAAATCTTTTAGATGAATACCCCTGATTGACACCAGTAGAGTAATTCATCACTTGTAAAGGAAAAGTAATAAACTGGATTTTATACCAGGAGAGCAAGCTAATCAAGGAGGTGTTGGGTACTGATAATGAGTCTTTACCAGAAAATCTGGAGGTTGGTTTATTACCTATTTATACGTTATTTGAGTTCAGATCCTATTTATAAATTTGGGCACATTCTCTGCTAGGTGATTCCAATTACTTGGTCTATAATTCAGCTGCTGAATCAATTCTATCAAGATGAAGACGGTGCACTTGATGAGATCCTATTTGCTGAACAATGGTAGATAGACGTTTTCTTAACAAAATAATAATAATAGAAAAATCTGTAAGTAGGCTAGACACAGTGGTAAGTCAGCCTACAAATGCAGGCCTGTGTTCTGTTGCACAATGAGTCACTGCCTCACATATGTGTGGTGGAGTGTTACTTACAGATGGAACTGTCAAAATCAGGTTTTCATTATACAGGATGACAAATGTAGTCCTCACGGGAGACATTTCTCAGCATAATGAGATCTAATCTCTTTAATTTCAACAATGGTGTCTGTATTTTTATCATTAGATCCAGATTGACTCTCTTCATTTCTATTTCCTCAACTTCCTTCTAATTACTACATTTTTTATGAGGGTTCACATGTTATCACTTTCTTTGTCATCTGTAACCAAATGTGGGAGAGAAGGGGAAGAAGCAGAAATACCCCAAACTGAAAATATTTATTCCTCCCATGCACAGTTGTTTTCTCTTACTTCTGCTCTCTGCCACATTGCTTTCCAACTGATGGAACATGGAAAGGAGTGCAAATAAGATCTTCTAGACCTATGTCAGTATGGCCCAGTTGAATTTTTGTCTGTTGTGAGGTCATGTACAGCACTGAATCCTCCCATGCATTTGGACTAAATGGACTGTGTTGCAGTTTTGTATTCCAGGTTTCTTTAACCATTTGCAGTGGAATCAGCTTCCTCTGCGTCTCTGCTTATCCCAAAACTGAGATGTCTTACCAACTGCTAAGCTAACAATGCTAAAGAAGAAGCAGATGAAGTTGCTGCTGACAAATGCAGATATCATTGCTGTGGACTCAAAATTTGAAGGTTTGTTTTTTTTCAGGAACTGCAGATTTTCAGACTAAAGTATAAAAAGCAATAAGAAAAAGGTAAAATCTAAAACTTTTATTCTACAAAGAGGCTTCTGTGCTTATATATCCACCAAACAGCTTGTGTTTCTCAGGTACAACAGAATTCACCCAAGGATCTATGTATATACATTGAGTTACATATTTCACAAGATCACAAAATCATAGGAGTTGGATGGGACCTCTGGAGATCATTGGGTGTCCTAAAGTAGGTTGCACCTAGGGAAGCATCCAGGAAGGTTTTGAATCTCTACAAAGAATGAGACTTCAGAACCAATCTGGGCAGTTTGATTCTATGAGATTCTATGACAGAGACAATTGCCAAGATATGACATGAAATAGAATCAGTCAATGTAAATTTATACTCGTTACTGAAAGTGGAAATAAATTATTCACTTTTTTTGCCTCATCTCATAAAATTACTGGAAGCTTGCAACATCTTTCTGTTGCTGTAGCCTAACATCTGGTTTACTTAACAAACTTAGCTGTAGTGCTACTATCTTTCACGTTGTTTTTTTTTTTTGTGTGTGTGTTTTTTTACAAGTTTTTTGTGTTTGCTATTTTACCAGTTAATCTATATAGTTACACTGATATTTTGTTGTAGTTTTTTCCATTTCCCATTCAGCAACAAATCCTAATTCTTGACAACAGGAAGAATACACAGGTAGTTATGGAATTCTGGTCAATAATGAAGTTGCTGTATGTCTAACTGCGTCAGCAGTAAATCCATGAAACAATTCCTATGTTATCACTCAGCACTTCTGGACAGGACTACAGATCAGAGGAAATAAATAGTTGTATTTTTTGTACATTAAAAAGATGCTTCAAGCAGGAGGAAAGCCAGGTTTTATTAAAAAGGGGGTAAGGGGCCATCAAGAGTGAAAAATCCACCAAACAAAATAACACTTCGGACCTGTATGGGAACTGCTGAGTCACGGCCTGAACCTCTGATTAATCACCTGAGGCGAGCAATGAGTCAGCCCTGGGAGCACAGGTGAAAGCAATTCACCTGTGCTGCAGGAAGGGGTGGAGCCTGGCTGCACCTCTCCTAGACCCATTTAAAAGCTGACGACCAGTGGGGAAGGTTCTCTCTCTCTTTGGAAGATCCACTCCATTGGAGTTTCCTGAGCAAGCCCATGACATGGGTGAGCATCCTATTTATTCTCTTTGTCTTGCTGTGCCTAACTCTCTTGCTTATTTCATTGTTGTAACATTTTAATATTATTTTATTATATAATATTCCTTTATATAATTTTCATTGATTATACAGGACCTATCAGCCATTCATGGTGTAATAATACTAATATGCTAGCTGCACACCGGTGAATCCCTTTGCTTAACATTAGTACCTGCTGGAGAGAATGTCAGAGGAGACATTAATGAGTTCTATTTGGATCTGTCAGGGTGTGAAAACTGGCTTTCCTATATTTTCCTGGGATAGGCAGAGCTGATGTTTCCTAAAGTGAATGCTGGGATTGCTGACATTCATAGCACTCAATGAAAAAGCAAATTATGAAATGTGATTCAATTATAGAATTGCTCTTTTCTTATTTAATTGCCACAAGATGCCTTTAAATGATCTGATCATAACATTCTACTTCAGAAGCTGTTCTTGATATTGAGTGAAGGGCTACGGAAGAATTGAGGGCAATAAGGAACAGTTCTCGTTCTGAATACTTAGAAACTTGTCCACAAAGATATAAGGTCCAGGTGTTGTTGGTTTGGATTTTGGTTTAGCACTTTGCAGATCAGTCAATGAGCTGTAGTAAAGAATTGAAAATCTGACCTTTTCCAGCTAGCATGGCTCCACTAGAGAAATCACTTCTGCTTTTTATAGTAATAAAAAGACCATATATTTCAGCAGATATCACTTTCTTACAACTGGGAACTCTGCTACAGAAATCAGGAAAAAGACATGTTTTCTCTTGAACTAGTTGCTGTATTTCCTATGCACAGTCTATGCTCATAACCTTTCTTATTCTTCCCCACCCTAGATTTCTGATGCAACTCAAAGGAAAAAGAATGTACATCATCTACAATACTTCAGACAATCATGTAGTCTTTTCCTTTTTGAGTCTTTTAACACAAAGATGTTTGAATTTGCTGTTCAGGCTCCACATCTAGATGTCATACTACCAGAGGCTTGAGAGAGAGATGTGCTGAACTATCACTATCCAAACAGTATCACACTTCTTAGCTTGCTAACCCACTGGTTCCTGCACAGAGACAGCAGTGACATTTAGGCCTATGCGCATCTACTAATATCTGTAACAATGGAAATAAGCACAAAACTCAAAAGATAAGGAAAAGGTTGAAAGTTAGTGTAACCATACGTAACTGATATAGATGAAAAAGATGGAGTACCACCTTACTGGCTTTCATCCATAAAGAGCTATGAAGATTACACTGCGGCCAGTACTTAATGCTACCTCCATTTGCTCTTGCTCAGCATGATTTCACTTTTCAGAAAGCCCTTTTGGTGTCTGTGGGAGTGAGTGCAAACTTTAGTACTGGTATTTGTAGAAACAAACAGGTGTTTGCTTGTCAAGTCAGTATAATGTCCATAATAACTAGTTTGCACAAATCAGTGTGCTTGTGTGAGGTAAACAGATGGTGGGAAATGCATCATATTTTCCCACCTGATGCAAACACTTGAAAATCTTTTACGAATATTGCCTCAATAGAGTTAACAGTGTCACAGACAAACATATTTAGCATTCCTTTTCACTTCTAATTCAAGGCACTTATGCATTTGCACTTTCTCTATCCATACCCATATGTCTCAAGACATACATTAGATATGACTCTTGATTGTAATTGGACCCTCTTCAAGTTAGAGGAACTTTTGCCATACATGTAACTTGTGACAAGTAAGGTTTTTGTCAAAACCCCCTTTTATTTTAACCTCAAGCTTTCTCCCTGTTTCAACACTCAGTTGCCACAGCTAAGATCTTCCAAATACACAGTTAACTTCATGTAGATAATGCTTTCAGTCAGATTCTACTCATGTGTTTAGAGTTGAGCAGGTGCCCTGGCAATTTTAGGATTAGGGGTCATGTGATGGCTCTGATCCAATTTTAACATATACACTGGATATTACCTTTTTGTTGCTTAAAGCTTGGTTTGGTTAGAATGAAAGTACCACATCACTGTAGAACACAGACGAATAAGCATACCATCCCAGGGGCAACAAAGTGTCTGAATCTCCAGTTACTCCTAGCATCTGTAACTCTCTCAAATAGGTAATGTAACCAAGTGAGTTTACTGTAACATCAGCATATGCAATGCCCTTCATGCGAGTCAGAATGTAGACAGCCTTCTGCAGCTGAAGCAGAACCTCTCTGAAAACTCAAGATGCCTTTTTGCTCTCTTGAAAGGGTGACAGTGGAAGCCCTGCTGCAAACTGAGCCTCAGTTTTATCAATGTCTTGCTAGTTCCACATGTCTTATAGCTTAGACAGATGTTTCCTACAAGCCTAGCATTAAAATAGAAATAGAAAATCTAATGCATGTTTTATTTCACTGGACAGGATTTAACAATTTAATTTAACAATCGGTGTACGAATACTGACCTTGTCTTAGCACAGAAGTCATGGTCATCTCCATATCTCTGCCCCTTTCAATTCATTTTTCCTTACAAAGAGTGGGCAGGCACACTCTGCTTGGTCACTCGTAGTCACCCTGCGTCAGCATTAGCAGTTCTGTGTGCATGAGAAATGTGAACACCGCTAAGCTCAATAACCAGCCAACAAATCTGATAGGATTTGCCTCTTATTTCTGCTTCCTACATCTGAATTGGTTTACTAGCTTTGCTTTACTTTAATAAGAAGATAGAGACATTGGTAAATGCAAAGCTCATGTTACATTGTTAAGATTTAAATTGAGTTGAGGTCGCACTATATTGATTACATTGGCTATAATTCCTGATGCAGGCACTACTAGAATGAAACCAGCTCTTTCACCAAAATAACTTGCTATTTAAATTGGAAGGTAAGATTTGACAAATCACAACTGCAAAACCACAGACAATTGGTGTAGATTCGCAGTATCACAGCCCCAGAATTTCATAAAATCTGTGATTCTCTCACAGCTAGCTCAAAAGGTTACGGCTGAACAGACAATACTGACAACAGTGTTTCAAAATGTTATAAACATAGATAGCAACAAATGACTACTCATTAATCTTACACAGTAGATCTGTTTGTGTTTTGTCATTAGTTCTCTTTTAGCATCAGACTGGCTGAAAGGAAGCTGGAGGTAGCAGCCAATGACAAACAAACTGCCACCAGACACACATAAATTAGAATATAAACTTTCTTTTAAAACTGTCATGTAATTCAAAACAAAATAGGAATATGGAAAATAAAAACTATTTCCAGAACCCTGCAGAATGCAATTTTTTGTTGCTTTGGCTCTATCATTTTTTCTCCTGACAGAACAGGTTCAGCGAGAGATAAGGGAGTCTCCTGTAAGTCCCTGTTGTGATCCAGTCATCCTGATCTTAAGCCTAATCTAAACAGATTTACATATTTCAGGACAGTATTGTACCACTGAAGGTTAATCTGTTTTTTTATGTTTTGTTTTTAAATCACTCTACACATTATTATGTATAGGACTTTCTGAATTAAAAAAAGTAGAATCTTGAGGAAAAAAAAGATTTTTACTGTTGTTCTCCACCTTCATCATTGTAAAATTGAAACATATTTTCATTCCAATCAAAGGGTAGGTGGTAGACTTCACTCTTAAATCCCTTTTCCCACAAAGCAGAACAGAAGCTATGTCCTTGTCTTTCTAAGGCAGGTCATGAAGGGGACTCTCATCTTTGTATCCTGAGTCCAGAAAAATCTTTGTGGTCACATCTAAATTATCATTTTTCTAAAGAGCATTTTGGTTTCAAAATATAAATTTTTAATCATTTTTTTCTTTCTAATTTCATTTTCAATCTACTTTGGTTATAACAGACTCCCAAAGCAGCAGACAGAGAGGATATTGATTCCAATGTTGATTCCTGATTCTGTAGACATTGTATTTATTTGAAAGTGAAATAAAAATTTTTTAAAATACATTTTTTTTCCAAAATGACATTAGGAGTGACAGAGTAAGATTAGAAAAGTCAGTCAATGAATAGTATGATGTAAAGCAGATGAAAAGAACTATAAGCAGCCTGGGGCCCTATAGCTGATGTTATGTTCTGACACAATGTTCTCTGCAAATCACAGTCCCTGTCTTTCTTTGAAAATTAAAATAAAATGTAGGAAAATGTAAGGCAAAACAAACAAACAAAAACCACACACTTATGAACAGAAATGACATATTTAAAGGAATATGAGGTCTTCACAATAGGAATCAAAACACTCAAACTTCAATAAATACATATGGTGATAGAAAAATAAAAAAAAAATCTTCTGGATTGTTGCTGAATCAATTTCTTTTTGCAAATGTGATTAAGATTTAATCTCTCTGTCACTGTGGTTGGAAAACAAAAATGAAAAATAAAGACATTCAAACAGCAGATTAAAAAAATTGTGAGAACATGGTCTGAAAGCACAGAGGCAATCTTTACTCTCTTCTTTGCTAAATTTCTAAATGAGCAGTCACTGGCAATAATAAATGCTGTATATTGCACTGAACACGTACCATAAGGCTGCTCAATTCTGACAAGCCTTTGAGTAATCCAGGTTTCAGACATTGCTTTCTCACAGCTCTAAGCATTCTAAATAGTGATAGTGAGTCAGAAAAGAGAATAGAGGAATAGGATGAAAATTAGCAAACAAATAAAAAGCCTAACAGCTTGCATCTCCAACTTCTGCCCATGCACTTGCGTATTTTTAGAGAACAAACTTTGATACTGTTATATAACATACTTATACACTATATAACATACTATAACAACAACAAAAAAGTGAAGATTGAAGTCCTTTTCCAACTACCAATTCTTCAGACATTTCTGAAATATTAGATATTATTTAGATTAGATCTACTTTTATTTAAATCCTGATGCATCAATTTTAAAGAAGTTCTGTATCTCAATTAGAAAACATCTTTCCAGATCATGTCAGAAAGCCCAGAATATTGTTCCACAAGCTGACAAAACTGGATATGTTAATTCAGTAAGCCATCAGTCCCATATGCTGAGCCCTAGGACAGTGAAGCTGAGCATCTGTTCTGCTGCACCACATGCACATGAAGATGCCTGTGAAAACCTGACTTCTTCCAAATGGTTCATAGCAAGTGGCAACCTATTTAGGATAAATCAACACACAGACTCCAAAACATTTGCATTGTTTCCTATTTTAAGCTACATCTCAACTACTTGCTCACTGTTTCCAAAGCTGTACATTGCTTTTCCTTTCCATTCTTTAATATACTATTTAAGCCTCTCTTGTTTTTATCAACATCAATGGTTATCACTGCCATTCAGTTTGCTGGCGCTTGTCACAATTTGTATAATCAGACAAAGGAAATAGTTCCTTCATTCCTGTTCATTCTGGATAGTGATCCATACCATAAGTTTTGTTTCCATGACTTGAAAATAAGGATTTGAATGTATGTAATTAACAACAACTGACACTTAGTATCAGGGATTTTTTTACATTTGTTGGTAAGAAAGATGGAAAGAAACTAATAAGATTTATCCCACGTTTATCTTGCACAGAACATCTACAGTAGATAGTTTTTAAACATAATGAATATAACTCATTACTGGTGTTACATTTGGCATATCGGTTAATTTCATGTTCATCTTTTCTCTCTTACTTTGAACCATCATCATGCCAAAGATGAAAGATTGTGTAATAATACAAGAAACTAATTTCTCTTTACTGTGAACACACATGTAGGAGGGCTTGGTTTCTTCTTGCCAATTCCCACATTTTAATCATATGATAATGGGAATTACCTTGAATGCTCTCCAAAGTCACATAAAAATAGGCCTTGGAGGTGTGTGATGCCAAAGCTATTCTGCTTTGGAGAGACAAGGGGGAACTGTACGTTATTAATTGCATATTAATTTTACAAAAGACTAAACCGTTTGAAAAACTGTTTATTTCAGAAAGAACTAGAATACTCAGCTTAATGCAAGACTTCTAAGTGCTTTTACTGAATAGAAATTATTCAAGCCCTTATCTTTGACATTCGATTTGCACATTTAGAAGACTGTGAGTGTTTTTAACATCAGTTTGCTAAATAAAAGACAAATTTACAAAGATTATATGGAATTATTCTGAAGGAAAAAAAAAAAAAAAAAAGAAAAATATATCAGGTAACAGTGGAGTGGGAAAAGATCCTTAGAAAATTTCAGAATTTTAGGTTAAAAAAAAAATTGTTTACTAACAAATAAATATGAAATAATGGTATGATCTTAGTTTGTTTTTCAGGCAGGCATTAGTCATACAACACAGAGGGAAAAAAAAAAAAAAAAGCTGCAAGAAATCACAGATTTGCAGAACAGTTTAGATTGGAAGCGACGTATTGAGATCATCTAAGTCCAACCTATCTGTTCAAGCAGGGCCATTAAGGACCATGTCTAGTCAAGTATTGAGTTCTCACTCCAAGGAGTGAGAGCCTGCAGCCTCTCCAGGCAGCCTATGCCAGTGCTTGGTCACCCTGTCTTCTGCTCAGAAGAAATTTCACGTTTGTTCATTTCTTCCCATTGCTTCTTATCTTGTTCACTAAGGATCGGTGTCTTAAATCTGTTGTCTCCCTTCTGCAGTCCTTTCAGTTACATCTTTATCTTTTCATCATTTTCTTCTTTTTATGTCATATGTTCACAAAACCTCTCCTCTCATCCTGGCAAAATACAAAAAGCAAAACTGCAGCTCACTTAGCTCATCTGTAAGCCACCTCACTCTGATGTTACTCGTTTTCTATCTTATATGTTCATTATTTTCTCACTTGCAGGAATTCTGAATTTCTCAGCCAGACACAGTGGCACAATTATTTTTACCTTATTTTATGCATCCTGCTGTGTGTGTCTACGGGCTCAGAGTCAAATGTCTGCTTCCTCAACAGCTGATAATCTTCCAAGCTCTGTGGGACTTGTTTACTACTCTGTGCCAAAGGGGCACAATGTTCTTTGAGTGGCTCTAGTAGAGTACTGTTGAATTTTTTACAAAGATGAAAATCGATGATGGACAAAAGCAAGAAGGAATTAGCTTTCACTTAAGTACTTCAAATCAGTACATTTTTGAAGGAGAGTTTCATTTACTCAATTCTGCTATTGTAAAGATATAAACCTCATAATTATTGGCTGTCGTTGTTGTTGTTGTTATTGTTTTGTTTTTTAACTAAAGCATAAATGTGCAATCAGAGTCTGATCTGAAGAAGTCAGAATGGGATTTAATTTTTCTCTTAAAATATCCAGGTTAAAGTAGTAGAAAAAAAAGGTCAGATGTACAATACCGTTATACAAATCCACCATATAACCTAGCTCAGTATTTAATAATACCAAAAATAGTCTCTCTGTATCCAATATGTACTGTTGAATCACAACTTCCCTGTTTTTTTGACCAATCACTTACATTGTGATGTAAGATGAAAAACTGGATTTTTCCCCATGTGCTTTACTGTGTGTGAGAGATAGCCTGTCCCAGTGGAAATTAGAACCTAATTTTATTTCATTTTTCCCTTTGCAATTCTGCCTCTGGATGTGCTGGACAACAATTTATCCTACGAAACAGGAATAACAAGGCTGACCTCTAAT